AACTAGCTAGCTAACTGATAATTTGCTTAAATAATTTTTTCCACAAGTACTTGTAGAATAAAAAGATAAAAAGAAAAAATAAAACTTATACATAAATTAAAATTAATTTATATATATTAAAAAAACTTTTGAAGAAGTTAATATAAAGAATTAAACTTAACTTATATATTACTTAATTTTAACTTAAAAAAAATCATCTATGTTTTTCTCATAAGTATTAGAAAAAATTATTCAGAAAAACTTGAGTTACAATTAATTAGATATAAAATAACAAGGATGTTGAAGCACTGTCCATTAGATTTTACCTAACCCTATACAAGTGTTGTGATGTTGGGCTTTCAACCCACTGGAAAAAAGGGAGAGATGACAGTTCTCTATGGGCTCCGCCAGTACCTAGCCCAAAAGAACAAACACAGATGAAAAAAGAAAAGGCTCATGATATATACACCTCCTTTTTCTATAAGTACATCTCCTTTTTAAAAAAAATTTTCTAAAATATTCTTAATTTTTTATTTTTTATTTTTTTAATTTTACATCCACAACATTTAATTTAGTGCTTTTTATTTTCACACATCTTTCTTCTTTTTTTCAATTTTTATATGCATTCCCTTACCTTTCTTTTATCCACTTATTTTGGTAGCATATGAAAATTAAAAAAAAAAAATGTGTGAAAAAGAAGAAGAAAGTAGCAAATTGAAAGTTGAAAGTGTAAAATTAGAAAATTTAAAAAAAAAAAATGTGTGAAAAAGAAGAAGAAAGTAGCAAATTGAAAGTTGAAAGTGTAAAATTAGAAAATTTAAAAAAAAAAAATGTGTGAAAAAGAAGAAGAAAGTAGCAAATTGAAAGTTGAAAGTGTAAAATTAGAAAATTTAAAAAAAAAAAATGTGTGAAAAAGAAGAAGAAAGTAGCAAATTGAAAGTTGAAAGTGTAAAATTAGAAAATTTAAAAAAAAAAAATGTGTGAAAAAGAAGAAGAAAGTAGCAAATTGAAAGTTGAAAGTGTAAAATTAGAAAATTTAAAAAAAAAAAATGTGTGAAAAAGAAGAAGAAAGTAGCAAATTGAAAGTTGAAAGTGTAAAATTAGAAAATTTAAAAAAAAACTACAATATTTTATAATTTTTATAAAAAAAAATAAAGGAGGTATACTTATTAAAAAAAAAAAGAGGTGTATATATCATGAGCCAAAAGAAAATGGGTTACTCTTTACAAGGTTTGGATCCTGCTATTTTTGGGCCAAGGGAAAGAAAGAAAATGGTTTATAACACCAAACTCAATTAGTTTCTTACTAACCCAAACCTATCCAAGTGTTATATTTTTTTTTCTCTTAAAAATGTATTTAGAAACATATCTTTAGTAAATATTTATTTACATTTTATCATGTGATTTGCAATAACTTAAAAATGCTACTCAACAACCTCCTATTAAATTGTGGTTATCATTACAACTTTAGTAAGAGAAATATTTAATAATTACAGTTGTGCAATTTTTTTTTATCGGCTACAGTTGTGCATGTAATTACATCATTCATTTATTCATTATTTTATTACAACAACAATTACTTTGACTTTGAAGATAATTGTATTGTATATGTGAGTCACGTCTTATCTGTGTTGGATTTTTATGTTTTTTTTTCAAATCTATCTACTTCAATAATTACCATAAAATTATTTCTAATAAATGAAAAAACCAAGTTTAGTTCGAATTAATCACCTTTGACAAGAAAAAAAAAAGTTACTCTAGTCATGAGAAAAAACTTGGATTCTATTCAAATAGTTTAAAATTTTATTATATATATTAAATTAGAATCACTATATCGTATGAAAGTGTTTTAGGTATTAACCAATATTTTTAATTATACAATGAGAAAGGTTTTTGTTTTATAAATTTTTCGCAACCTCTTACGATTTAAAAAATATTATTTTATCAATTTAATACTATTGTTTAAATAAATTGTTAATAATAATTTTATGTATATCTTTATTCATTAAATTACCCTATATATATTAAATTAGAATAGATATATTGAATCAGGATATTTTTAGACATATTTTTTAACAAATGTTTTACTTTGTAGATCTCGTTCTTTAACATTTTTAACTATTTTTTAATGGGAATGTTTTTTTCCCCTCAACTTCTAGCCCTTTTCAGTTTATCTTTTTCATTTTAAGTTTTACATTAAATTTTAGTATTTATGAAAATGTTATTAATAATTTTATATTATAATATAATTTATTTATTATAAACTTAAACTAAAAGAATTAACTTATCATAAATTATAGATATATAAAATAAATATTTTTCCTGTACATTAGACTTACTAAAATATAAGTTAGAATAATTTTCTTAAATAAGAATATTTTAATGAATATTTTTAAATGAGAATGTGAGACCCACTCCTTTCCCCTCCCCGCAGAGCCTCTCTTTTCTCCCTCACTTGCATTCTCTCATTTCTTCTAATTGTTCTTCTATCCCTTGCTCTCTCAAGGTATTGTGTAGTGGTGAAGTGATAGCTAGCTGAAGTCTCTCATTTTCTCCGTCCGTTTCTCCCCCTTCGTTGAGCCATTCTTCTTCCCGGAGCTCAGAATCTTTGTCCCGAGGTAAGGGAAGCTAGATTCTGTTGTTCTTTGGTAGTAAATGAGTACTAGAAACTCATTAGGTGCTTGTTGATGGTTGATTCTTGGTTGAGAAGTGAAGAAAATTCATTTTCGGGTTTTTCGGGGTTTTGGGAGAAATTTGGGTTTTCTTTGATTTGTGGGTGCATGTGTAAAAAGATGGTGTTTTTGAACTCTTTGATGAAAATGTGATGTTTTGGGCCGATTGCATGTGGATTTTCCTGGTTATTTTGCAGGTTTTGAAGAGATTTTCGAAAGTTTGAGGGTTGCTGCTGGGTATCACGCCGGGCGCAGTTCTTCGCACCGGGTGCGTGACCATCAGAGACTCCATTTGGGCAAGCACGCCGGGCGTAATGGTGAATGCCCCGGGCGAGCTTGAGGATATGAGTCTCTAGATGGCCCACGCCGGGCGTGGTGGGACAGCGTTGGGCGCGATATTAGTGGATGACTCAAGTTTTGGGGTTCTGGTGTGGCGCCGAGCGTGACCTTGTCTCGCCAGGCATAGAGACTCCTTGGGAGTCTTTACTAGAGGTGGCGCTGGGCGCAATTATTGCGCCGAGCGTGAGACCCTAGGGAGGTCTCTACTTTCTTGTGCTGAGCGCGGGATTAGCACGCCGGGCTTATGAGGCCTTGTGAGGTCTCTGCCTTCCCTCATGCCGGGCGCAATAGGAATTGCGTCGAGCGCGCTGATTCCCTGGTACTCTCTGGTTGTGCCACGCCGGGCGCGTATGTGTTGTTTCCTTATATGTTGTCTATGCTGAGTATGAGCTGTAATTGATGAATATGCCATGCTGTTACCTGTTATTGCTGATTAAAGTTGTAGTTGATGTATATTGTTGTGATGTAAGTTGTTTAGATGTGCTGTAAGATGATAATGCTATGTTGTAAGATGTTTAGCCGTGCTGTAAGTTGATATTGCTGTAAGCTGTGCTGTGCTGTATGCTGATATAAACTGTTGTAGGCCGTAAGACTGAGCTGTTGTAGGCTGTAAGGCTGAGCTGTTGTAGGCCGTAAGGCTGAGCTGTGGCTGGAGCTTCCAAGCTTCTCTTCTCCTTCATTCTTTTCCATGTTTAGTGCTGTTTATGCTGTATAGTTGATGAACTGTATGCTGATGATGTGCTGATAGCTGTAATTGTTTATTCATATATTTATATATATGTTGTTTTCTTTTCACTAGCTTACCCTTTATTATTTTCATGTGGTTTGGATTGCGATGATCATACTATGTATGAGAGCAGAACAGGGATAGGCTGGTCTTGAAGCAGGTCTGCAGCTGGCAGATGGAAGTTTGTTGTTTTGTTATTTTTGGCCACTAGTTGGCTATTTTGGATGTAATTTGTTTACTCTGATGTTTAACTCAGATTGGACCTTGTATATATATATATATACTTGTTCTCTCTGTGTGGTGCTGTTTTGTTGTTCAGTGTGTAACGACCAGTCGGGTCGTTACAATACTTACTTTATAAGTTGATTTGTATGGTTGAGTGTTAGGCTTATAATCTACAATCTTAGAGTTTAAAAGATTATGTATCATATGTTGGAGGCGTGGAAACAAATGTTTCGAATAAATTCATTGTAAAACATTTGAAAGTTGAAGAATTATTGATAAATTTTTTTGTAATTTCTTTAATTTTTTTTGTAAAATATATTCTCGCAGAATTTCTTGAATTTTATTTATTATAAATTTTAATTTATATGATTTTTATTTGTGAAAAGTGTCTATTTATTATAATTTTTATATAAAATATATTTACAAGTTAAAATACTAGTAATATTAAATTTTAATTGTTTTTTATTCCTATTTTTTTGTTACTATTTGAATTGTATCGGTAATTTTGCTTTATATTTTTTTTTATTTTTTAAGGAACAATGATTTACTTTTTAATAAATAAAAAAAATTACTAAGTATAGTAATAATAAAATATAGAATTATTAAATAAATACGTTTGGTGATTAATTTTTCATTTAAAATAATAATTATTATTAAATAAAAAACAAATGCATAATCTTCTAAAAATACGTAATACATGTTAAATAAATTATTCAGAATATTAAATCTCAAAATATTAATATTTCAAATGTTATTTAGATAACTCTACTTTAAACTTGTCCTAATATTCTGGTCTAAAAATAACACTTAGCCTAAATCACAAGTAAAAGATAATAATTTTTGTATGAATAAAACATTACACGACCTTTAAAAAAAAATAAGAAGAATTTTTTTATATTTTTATTTGATTGGATTTTAAACATAAGAATCGAAAGAAAGAACAAATTCAACAAAAAGAAAAAAAAAGAAAAAAAGAATTTTCTCAGTTTCTAATAGTTAGTTTTTTTTTTGGGGTTAATAGTGTTCATCAAGAGCCAAGAGTCAGATAATGAGATTAACACATTTTCAACAGGAGTCACTACTTTCACTGCGGGTCATCCTCTCTCTATCTTTTCTTTCTCCGCACATTCCATTTTGCACACTCAAATTCAATCCATTTGCTTTCATTCTCATCCTTATGTCCAAATCCTGAATCCTTAAAACACTTTTTCAGTTTCCATTTCACTTGCTGGTGGCAATGGAGGGTACCCTTTTCCCCAATAGGCCACTTTTACCAGCAGCTCCTGCACAAAGACCAACACAAACTTTGAAATTCAAGCCCATTTCTTTTCCTCCACAATCCCCTTCACCATCACCACCTCCTTCTTTTCAATTGGATTCCCTTCTCCAACATCTTCAGCATCTCTCTTCAGTTCCCATCACCGCTCAGCCACCTTCTCAGAGTGACACCACCCATTTTAGTTCCCTTCATTCAAAGCACCCCACTTCAGCTTCTGCCCCCATATTTGATCAGAACCAATTTGATGATTCAAAGTTTGGATTTTTATCAGACAGAGGTAAGTTGCTGCTCAGTTCAATTGTTGGGTCACCTTTGCATGAATTGAATGGTTTTTTCAACTCTGCTGAGTTTGAGTTGCTTGAGGTTGATTTTCCCAGCCTGTTGAAAGCCTTGGACCTTTCTGGGAACTGGGAAAGGGCGCTTTTGCTGTTTGAATGGGGTTGGTTGCATTTTGGGAGTCGTCAAAATTTGAGGTTGGACAATCAGGTTGTTGAATTGATGGTTAGGATATTGGGGAGAGAGTCACAGCATTCAATTGCATCTAAGTTGTTTGATTTAATTCCTGTGGAGGAATACTCGCTTGATGTCCGTGCTTACACCACCATTCTTCATGCGTATGCTCGAACGGGGAAGTATAAACGGGCTATTGACATGTTTGAGAAGATGAAGGAGATTGGTCTTGATCCAACTTTGGTCACTTACAATGTTATGCTTGATGTTTATGGCAAGATGGGTCGTTCTTGGAACCGAATCTTGGAGTTGTTGGATGAGATGAGGGGTAAAGGGCTTGAGTTTGATGAGTTTACTTGCAGCACTGTGATCTCTGCTTGTGGGAGAGAGGGTATGCTAGATGAAGCAAGGAAGTTTTTGGCTGATTTGAAATTGAATGGTTATAAACCAGGAACTGTTACGTATAACTCTTTGCTGCAGGTTTTTGGAAAAGCTGGAATTTACACTGAGGCCTTGAACATCTTGAAAGAAATGGAGGATAATAATTGCCCTCCTGATTCTGTTACATACAATGAGCTTGCAGCAACGTATGTAAGAGCTGGGTTTCTTGATGAAGGGATGGATGTCATAGACACAATGACAAGCAAAGGAGTAATGCCAAATGCTATTACTTATACCACTGTAATTGATGCCTATGGTAAGGCAGCAAGGGAGGATGAGGCGTTAAAGTTGTTCAGCAAGATGAAGGACTCAGGTTGTGCTCCCAATGTATACACATACAACTCTGTTCTTGCCATGCTAGGCAAGAAGTCAAGATTCGAAGACATTATTGAGGTTCTCTGTGAGATGAAATCGAATGGATGTGCTCCTAATCGCGCCACATGGAACACCATGCTTGCTGTATGTGGCGAGGAGGGTAAGCACAATTATGTTAAGAAGGTCTTGAGGGAAATGAAAAACTGTGGATTTGAGCCTGACAAAGACACATTCAATACATTGATTAGTGCATACGCTCGGTGTGGATCTGAAGTTGATTCTGCAAAAATGTATGGGGAAATGGTTAAAGCAGGCTTTACTCCATGTGTAACAACTTACAATGCTCTTCTAAATGCCCTTGCTCGGCGAGGCGATTGGAAAGCGGCTGAATCTGTCGTTCAGGACATGCGGATGAAGGGCTTTAAGCCTAATGAAACTTCATACTCACTGTTGCTCCATTGTTATTCCAAGGCTGGGAATGTCAAGGGGATTGAGAAGATTGAGAAAGAAATTTATGATGGTCATGTCTTTCCTAGTTGGATACTTTTGAAAACCCTTGTCCTATCAAACCACAAGTGCAGAGACCTTAGGGGAATGGAGAGGGCATTTGATGAACTGCAAAAGTATGGATACAAACCTGATTTGGTTGTAATTAACTCCATGCTTTCAATGTTTGCCCGGAACAAGATGTTTTCAAAGGCCCGCGAAATGCTGCATTTTGTTCACGAAACTGGATTGCAGCCAAATCTTTTCACTTATAACAGCTTGATGGATTTGTATGTCCGAGAGGGTGAGTGTTGGAAAGCAGAAGAAGTGCTCAAGGGAATTCAAAACACTGGTCCAAAGCCAGATGTTGTTTCTTATAATACTGTTATCAAGGGATTTTGTAGAAAAGGGCTCATGCAGGAGGCTATTAGAGTTCTCTCAGAGATGACCACTAAGGGGATTCAACCAAGTATAGTTACATACAATACTTTCTTGTCAGGCTATGTAGGAATGGAGTTGTTTGATGAAGCAAATGAAGTCATTAGATTTATGATTGAGCACAATTGCAGGCCTAATGAACTAACTTACAAGATTGTAGTTGATGGTTATTGTAAAGCAGGGAAATATGAAGAAGCTATGGACTTTGTGTCTAAAATTAAGGAGATTAATACCTCTTTTGATGATCAATCTGTGAAAAGACTAGGTTCTTGTATTAGGGAGAGAGTGGAGTCTGCTTTGTGAACTATCCTTTTGGTTTTCCATTTATATATACATATATTTCTTTTAATAATACCTCTGCTAAATATAATTCCATCAGTTGTTGCAATTCTTTAGCTAGTCTTGTGGAAACTATATTTAGGGTCTGTTTGAATAAATATTTTCAGAAACACTTATAGAAAAAAGAATGAGAAGAAAAAACGGAAAAGTTTCTGAAAATAAAATAAATCTTTTGCAAATTAGTTTTTCATAAGTTAATTTTAACTTATGAAAAAGTTTATTTCGATTATTCTTTCTAGAAGTCTTTCTGGAAAAGTTTACTTAAACATACATTTATACTATTAGTTCTATGAGCATAATAGCTGCATCAATCCATAAAAAGTTTGAAATATATTGAATCCTCTTAGTGGTGAATAAGTCCTCTAGCTTGACTAAATCAAGAAAGCCATAAATTTTGGTGCAAGAAAGTTTTCTCAATCTGTTATATGCCTGCTGTTCTGGATTTTTTTCCCAACAGAATCTCTAAGATTATGAAGCCATGTTTGATTTCTTTTTCATTTTTTGGTTTTAAAAACTGTTTTCTAAAATAATTTTGCATTACTCAGCAATCAATTTTTCATCTAAAATTTATTAAGATTTAAATTTGTTTTCAAAATAAGTTTTCTGAAAACAAAAAAACCAAAAACAATTGAGAGATATTTTCTCATCATTTGTTTTCACCTTGTTCAACTTTTTTCTTGATACTATACTTTGTTTTGTGTCTTGTATCACTCTTTGCTAGTTTTGAATAGTTTTTTTGTTGCATTTTGACAACTAAAAACACTTTGAAAATGGAAATCAAATACAATTGTCCGTCACCTTAGTGTTTGCCTACCGTTATATTTTTTTATATGTTAAATTGCAATTATACTTTTTTTTACTGATATTAAATATTAAAGTAAATAACTTTTTGTGAAATTGGGGATTAAAATGATTGACTTTTATGGTTTCAAGGATTATGTGGGTGAAGAAAATAAAATTAAAGTGGAAGTCCGAAACCTTGGCACAAAAGTCAGAATTTTAATCTAAATTTGATAGTTTGAACTACAACGCGATGGTATGGATTAGAAGTAGGTGCCTGAGGAAGTCCATATGAGTTCATTGCAGGTTCTATTACTATACTATGTTTTGTAAAACCCAAAATCTGTGTACTATGCAGATCATGGAGCCAAGATAACATTTGAGTTGGGAAACGAAATTGTAGCTTAGGCCTTGAACTTGAATTTGTAAAATATGCAAATTTGGATCAAACTTTGAACTCCTTCAGTTGCATAACAGCACAAAAAGGTAAAATTCCCTGCACAAGATGTGTAAATAGGAGAAAAAAATTGTAAAATACAAGTGCAGACAGAAAAGATATTCGAAAGAAATAGATGGGAATGAATATTGTTTGATTGAAAAAAAAAACAGAAGAGAAATAAATCGTGTGAGGACCCTATTTTTTTTCATTTTCCATTTTCACCCTTACACTCTTTTTCTTCAGCCTCACTCACCCTTCCCCACACAACTCATTTTCTCTCCAAATACTCACTTCTCCTTTTCTCTCTTTTGGCTGGTGGCAATTCTTGGCAGCTGAAGGTGCTTAGGGAGTGTGAACTGATTCCTCCAGCTGATTTCTTCTCCGTTCACTTCCAAGCTTCTCTTCTCCTTCATTCTTTTCCACCCGAAGCTTGGAATCTTTGGCCAAGGTAAGGGAAGCTAGTACTTTTGTTTCTTTTTTCGCTGTTTGTGGTTGTGGACGAGTTCTAGAAACTCATTAGATGCTGATTGATGGATAATTCGTGGTTGAATTGAAGGAAAGCTTGTTTTCTTTGGGGTTTTCGGGGTTGTTGAGAAATTTTGGGGAAAATCTTTGAATTGTTGTTGCATGTTGAAAAAGGTGGTATTTTTGGACTCTTGGATGGAATTATAGTAAATCGAACCGATTGCATGTGGGGTTCTCTTATTACTCTACAGATTTTTGAAGAGTTTTTCGAAAATGGTTGGCTGCTGCTGAGCTTCGCGCTGAGCGCGGTTCTTCGCGCCTGGGTGCGTGGCCACCAGGAGACCCCATTTGGCTAAGCTCGCTGAGCGAAATGATGAGTGCGCTGAGCGCGCTTGAGAATGTGGGTCTCTAGCTGACCCGCGCTGGGCATGACTTGGACCGTGTTGGGCGCGATACCAGTTGTGGCAGGTTTTGGTTCTTCTTTTGGGCGCTAAGCGCGCCCCTTGTCGCGTTGGGCGTGAGACTCCTTAGGAGTCTTTGCCTTGTGGGCGCTGAGCGCAATTTGAATTGCGCTGGGCGCGAGACCAAGGGAGGTCTCTGCCTTCACCGCGCTGGGCGCGGGTTTTGGTGCGCCGGGCGCATGGGACTCCTTGAGTCTCTGCCCGGCCAGCGCTGGGCGCAACGACTATTGCGCTAAGCGCGAGATAGTTTTGGGTTCTCTGGTTGAGTCCCGCTGGGCGCGGGCACACCTGCGCTGGGTGCGCTGGCCCCCTGGTGCTCTCTGGTTGCGCTGCGCTGGGCGCAGCCACGTGTGCACCGGGCGCGGAGATGGGATGGTTATGTATGAAGTTTTGTGCTGAGTTGAATTGAAATAGAAGGTTATGAAATGATGTCTAGAAGATAAAGTTATTATTGATATTAAATTATATCTGATGAATGTGTTGAGAAGTGGGGTTATGTTGTGGCTGATTTGTTGAACTGTGAGTTGACATGTTGAGATGTATAAGTTATGTTGTGCTGAAATATTGATGTGAGTTGTTGTAGGCCGCAAGGCTGAGTTGACGTAGGCCGAAAGGCTGAGTTGTTGTAGGAGATCTCTGAGTTGATATGCGTGACGACGCATTGTATGTTTATTGATGATCATGTTGAAAAACCGATGGGATGTATATTGATGAAGTGTTGATAGTTGTAGTTGTTTATATTACTTAAATCTTTCTACATGTTGTTTCTTTTTATGCTAGCTTACCCTTTTGTTGTTTCCATGTGGTTGGACTGCAATGATCATACTATGTATGGGAGCAGAGCAGGGATAGGTGGTGGCTAGTGGTGAGTCTGCAGCTGGTAGGCGGAGCTGACTCCTATGGATGTTTTGTTTTGTTTTGTTACGGCTACTTGATATAGTGGCTTTGGATGTATTTTGTATTCTACACTCTAACTCTAGTCGGATGTAGGACATTGTATATATTTATATTCTAGACACTATATTTATATACTCGTTCTATCCTGTCTCGAGTTTCCGGTGTACTGTGATGGTGAGTGTAGTGACCTGCCGGGTCGTTACAAATCGAGAGATTTTCTTCTGATAAACAAATTGATCGAGAGATTTTCTTCTGATAAACAAATTGGTTGGATTAAATTGAGAGTGAGCCCACTTAGATTCATTGTAATTTATTTTCATTTATTAAGAATAGAGAAAATAAACCTGAAAAAAGGGCTTTTTTTTTTTAAAGTGATTTTTTTTTTTGAAATGTTTCCAATTAAAAAGGCTCAAATTTAAAATTAGAAAATGTTATTTTTAGTGGTTTAGAAATATTATTTTTGAAATGTTATTTTTACTGATTAAGTGATACATGTCCAAAAAAACAAACCTCAACTCCCAAACCTGTCTGGGACAAAGTTGGTGTCATCTTACAAATACTCTTTCTATTTTTTTTTCATTGTCATTTAAGATTATGCACAAGAATTAACAAAATAATTGATATTTTAATTTTTCAAAGTATTTATTACTTATTTTCCTATTATATCTTTTAAGTGGTTAAAGAAGAAATAAGTATATTAAAAAATGAATAAACACATTATTCAGTAAACATACATTAATTATCAAGAATAAAATATAAAAAAAATTAATAAATTATTGATTTTAAAAAAAAAAATAAAAAAATAACAAAATACTGATAAAATGACTATAAAAAAAAAGAGAGAAAGTATCACCCAACCAAAGCGCAACTGTTCCGAGCAATTAATCCTGAATCAGGCCATGATATCTTTTATATATATATATATATATATATATAAATATATATAT